GGGGCCCCCCCAGCGCAGCCTGAGCTGGCAGGCCATGGAGCAGATCCGGTGAGCAGGGCGGGAGGTGGTGCCGCTGGCAGCCTAGCCCTGGAGCGCGGGCAGGGCAGGTTCTGGCCAGTGCCCCCGGTGCGGGCTGCTGGAGCAGCCGGTGTCCCCCTGTGGCTGGGACGAAGGCACCGCTGTGCTTGCCAGGCTCTGGGCTGGCAGTGACTCTGCCTCTCCTGGCAGGTACCTCAGGCAGGCCTTCCCCGAGGAATGGCCCGTGGCCCGCCTGGCCCAAGGTTTCTGTGTCAGCACGGATGTCATCCAGAGGGTGCTGAGGAGCAAGTTCTCTCCCCCGCTGGAGCGAAGGATGAAGCAGGATGCCAAGGTGTTGGGTAAACAGGGGAGCCGGGAGCAGCAGCCTGGCCCAGACCGGAGAGCTGAGCTGGTGGCCGTCTCTGCAGGAGAAGCAGAGTCTGGAGCCCTTATCGCGCCTGGGGGCCAGTCCAGCAGCTCAAAACCCCAGAGAAATCGGCAGCTTTGGGGAGCTGGGGAGAGGCAAAACAGAAGGAAGGCCCAACCGGAGCCTCTTCAGGAGGATGGAACCAAGCCTGTGGCTGGGATGGGAGCCGCCCTCATGAGAAACTCTCCGGCAGGAGGAGACGCTGAAGAGTGGGATGGCGAGGTCCTGAGTGAGGAAGAGCTGGAGGAGCTGGCCGCAGAAGGCCGGGGCACCGGCACCAAAGTGATGCAGAGAGGACAGGAATATTTTGACAGCAATGGGAATTTCTTGTATAGGATCCCAGCTAGACTAGCCCATGGGGAGGGGGAGAACAACATGCAGCCCTTTCCCCAGTCTGGTGGTGAAAAGAGTGGGTAGGGTGTGGGTTGGCTTCTCTTACTGTCGGCCTGCCCAGGGCGTGGGGCTGGCTCATGTTACTGTCCTTTCCACCCAGGGAAAAATAAAATATTACAAAGTCCCTGCTGCCTCGCGTGACCCTCTCCTGGACTTGGTCACAGCTGTATGTGTCCCTTTGCTGAGGAGGCCTCTGGCACCCTCCTGCCCAATGTGCGTCCCCTCCCGCCAAGGCCACCCTAAGGAGCAGCGACGCTGGCTGTGCAGCGGGCTTGTTACCCCCTCGGGCGCTGAGCTTTCCTGGGCTCAGGGAGCAGTTGGGTGGTGGCTGTGGGACGGGGTTTCAGACGCTACACTCCTGTACCCATGGAGCAAGTGTTTCAGGCTCTTGGCAGCCTCTGGCAGCCTGGCCTGCAGCGGCCCTGCTCTGGTCACGGGGAAGGGTGGGGTGCAGGCTGGGGAAGGGTGGGGTGCACGCTGAGGGAGGGCTGTTCACACAGGTCACAGCTCCCCTGAGGTTTTTATGGCCCGGTGTGGCCAGGCTCCAGGGCCCTGCGGACCCTGCCC